GGGGGGAGGTGGAGGTTAGATTGGATTCGCCATGTCCATCCGTCCAGAATATTGTGCAAAGGGTATATTAAAAACCCCTGAAGGGATTTCTCTTAACCCATTCAACCCTAGGAAACTTTAATAGACTCTACCATACAGTTATCTTGATGAGTCCATTATGGTCTACAGTGGTGAAAGGGTTAAACTAAGCATACTATTTCTCTATGATAAGATGTTGTGCCCTTTTGCTTGTCGTTAATTTTGAAATATTTGTTGAAGTTGAGGCCCTTGTTGTATAACTTCTCGTCCCCAATATTGTGACAAGTGTATCTTACATAGTGATGATGGTATTTCTCTCACTCGTTATGCCTTTAATGTGAGGTTGTGCCCTTTCACATGTCCTCAAATTTGGTGGAAATTTTTCAGAGTTATACCCCCTTTTCATATAAGTTCCGTCCAGAATCATTATGTGAAACATATTTAATAATTTGAAGTACTGAATTAGAAATTTTAATCCTCTAAAACTTTGTATAATAGATCACAACAATATGTAGTTATACTGAAATCAGGTTGTTTGTCCCAGTGTCCCTGTGTCAGTCTGTCTGTCTTTAGATCTAGACACAATGTTATCTGGCAACTAGATTCTGTAGTTAATAATAACCAGCATAAATAACCAGTATTGTTTGTATGTAGATGTGGCCAATGTTGGTATGAGGGCAAGTGTGGAAAGGACTGCCCCGAGTGTGACGGACATCCGATGACACGCCCATGTGCAGTTTGCGGAGGGGAATGTAACCAGGTCTGGAACCGGGATGTCAAGTTGGTAAGATTCTACCGAGTTTAGGGCTTACAGTGATGGGCAAATGACTGAAAATAACGATCATTCAGAATTGCACTGATATGAATGAAATTTCGTACACAGTACCCTTATACATCAAGGAAGATCAGGGGCAATGACCCTGTCGACAGTAAAAAGCTTGTGTAAATTTAAAGATGTGCATTGATTAGGATGCCTTACAAGCATCAGCTTTAGGGAAATTCCCTTTAGCTGATCAGCTGTAGAGCATCGGGCTGGAGAGCCAAGGGTTGCGGTTTCGAGCGCCAGCGACGGCACTATCTTTATCACTATTCCTCGACCTACTACAAACTGGTGCCATTGACCCTCCCCATTCAAAGTAGGAGAACCCATGGCGGGGAGTCAAAGAACCTGGGTTGGTGTTTGAAAAAATAGGGGGGAATAGTGTAAAAGATGTGCATTGATTAGGTTGCCTTACAAGCGTCAGCTGTCAGGAATTTCCTTTTAGCTCAGCGGTAGAGCATCGGACCGGAGAGCCAAGGGTCGCGGTTTCGAACGCTAGTGACAGCACCATCTTTATCACTTTTCCTGGTTCTTCTACACTTGTGTACTGGATATTTCAGAAGATATGTTATTCATCTTTACACCATATAATATGAAAAGGCAAAGCCTAAAAAGAGATCTTTAGCAAAGTCTTGCTAAACTCTTGTATTTACTGTATTTAAAGTCGACAAGACATCATTTAAAGTAGAGATTTGTCCTGTGTGTAACACATATAATGGGTAGGGTGGTGCAGTGGATAGTGCGCTCGTCTTCATCAAGATGGCCAGGATTCCATCCCTGTCACCTGCCCCACCATGAGGGGTTTTCTCTAGATATTTGGGTTTTCTCCCACATGGAAAGTTTGACACTCTGTGCACTTGCGTCAAGGCCCAAAAAGAGTTTTGGGGGGGGGGGGGNTGCTTGATAATTGCCAAAAAAATAAATAAGACATTACATATTTAACGATATATCAATGTTAGATGAAGAAAGATATTACTTTAAAAACAAAATGGGAGAATAGAGAACATTGTACAATACTTTAACATAACTGAGATGGGCGTTGTATCTAGACATAGTCTGAATTGTTGTTCCATCCTGAAACATCCGGTCGAATTTCAAATTCTGTTTCATTCACAGAGAATAGACAAGTAACTTTACCAAATAAAATTAGATGCTTTCTGTCTGTAACTGGTAATAATTCGGCATGTGGCGTGAAAAATAATAACGTTTATGAAAAATGGCGTTAAAACTCGTGTTAATGATCTGGAAAAATCATTGTTGATTCGACATAGATTCATAATCAATTGTTTCTATTATGACGGGTGTTGTATAAATCAATTATGTAAATTCATCCTTCTGGAAATAACCGATGAAGACTGATTGAGTATGACGTGTTTGTGACCTTATAGAAAGAATAATTTCTGACAATAGTTTATTTAGCCAATATCTCATTCTATGTAATAGACTTTTTTCACTCAAAATGTATGTTAACTTTTTAACAAAATCTGGATATATAGCAATATATCAACAATTAAAAATTTTCATTATATGCTTATATTTGATTTCTTTTATTTCCCTTAGCAACAGTTGATGTGCCTCACTCTCGCGAGAATACATAAAAAGGAGAAGTTCTTCGTATTTTGTTTTGAAATTTTCTTTAATTCATTCACCCCTGAAATAATTTCATAATGAACTATTTCAACCTTTGAATTGGAAGAGTTTAAATGTGTCTTCAGGGGTGAATGAGTTAAATAAAACAGTTATCAAAAACCAAGCAGATATTTTTCAGTATATGTAGATATCAGTATATGCGTTGCATCAGAATTGTTTTTGCTTCAAGGGTACACTTCCGGTTTCCCAACTGGGCGGCTACTTCCGGCCAAAAACCATTAAAGAGCTTCACTCGAGTGCCTTTGGCACCCGAGAGCTATGCTCTTATTACAGTAGTATCAAGTTCTAGGCCTGATCAGACATAGGTTAAAACTGATACAAACGATGTTGTAAGCTCACCTTGAACTTTTCCTTTAAACAGCTTCTTTTAAAGAACCAAAAGTCCTAGAGTAATGATATTAGGCAGATAACTTTTTTGGATGGAGCCCAATAAAGTTTGTGTATAAAAATGAACTGGATCTCTAGTTTCAAGTTCACTGGGGTCATATGTGTAAATAACTTCAAAATGCTTATTCTCAATAACCAAGAGGCCTAGGTTGATAATATTTGACCTGTAGTATGTTTTATAAGATGTCTAATTTTGTTTCAGTGACACATTTTCAAGGTCAAGGGAATTTGAATACCATAAAAACTTGTGTAATTTGCGCACTTTTTCTTGAGAAATAAAATGCCCGAAGTGGGGGGGTGCGCAAAAGTATTACATTATATAAGTGTTATATTTTCAAGTTTTTAGCTCACCTGCCCTAAGGGCTATTGAGCTTATGCCATGGCGTGGCGTTTGTCGTCCGTCAACTTTTCCTTTTAACAACTTCTTCTAAAGAATGGACAGGTCTAGAGTCATGATATTTGGGTGAAAGCTTCGTTGGTAGGAGCCTGATAAAGTTTGAGAATGAAAATGACCTTGACCTACGTTCAAGGTCACAGCTGTCAATTATGTCAAACACTTTAAACCACTTCTTCTGAGGAACGAAAACGTATAGAACCTTCATATTTGGCTGTTTGGTTCATGAGATAGAACCAGACAAAGTTTGAGAATGAAAATTACCTTGACCTACTTTCAAGGTCACAGGGGTCAAATGTGTCAAACTCTTCAAACGACTTCTTCTGAAGAACTAAAAGGGATAGAATCTTCATATTTGGCTGAATGCTTCCTGGGATGGAGCCAAACAAAGTTTGAAAATGAATATGACCTTGACGTACTTTCAAGGTCACAGCGGTCAAATATGTAAAACACTTTAAACGACTTCTTTTGAAGAATTAAAAGGTATAGAATCTTCATATTTCGCTGGTGGCTTCCTTGGATGGAGCACGATAAAGTTTGAGAATTAAATTGACCTTGACTTACTTTCAAGGTCACAGCGGTCAAATGTGTAAAAACTCTTTAAACGACTTCTTCTGAAGAACTAAAAGGTATAGATTCTTTATTTTTGGCTGTTTGCTTCCTGAAGAAGAGCCAGACAAACTTTGAGAATGAAAATGACCTTGACATACTTTCAAGGTCACAGGGGTCAAATATGTCAAACTCTTCAAACAACTTCTTCTGAAGAACTAAAAGGGATAGAATCTTCATATTTGGCTGATGGCTTCCTGGGATGGAGCCCAACAAAGTTTAAAAATAAAAATGACCTTGACGTACTTTCAAGGTCACAGCGGTCAAATATGTAAAAACTCTTTAAGCGACTTCTTCTGAAGAACTAAAAGGTATAGAATCTTTATATTTGGCTGTTGACTTTCTGAGATAGATCCCGACAAAGTTTTCGAATGAAAATGACCTCAACCTACCTTAAAGGACAGAGATCAACAGCATTTTAAAGGATTTGTTCTTAAGAACCAAATGGAATGGATTCATAAGATTTGGCTGGTAGCTTTTTGGGATAGAGCTAACAAAGTATGAGAAGGAAAATGACATTGACCTACTTTACAAGGTCACAGGGAAAAATATGTCAATTCACTTCTGAAGAAGAACCAAAAAGCATAGAATCTTATAATAATATTTGGCTGGTAGTTTCAACAGATGGAGCCGACAAGGTTTGTGCAGGAAATATTTGTAGTGCAATATAATATTGAATGAGAATATTTTGCCACTTGTCAGCATCCCCACATGATCTGGGGCCACTCCTTCATTGATGTCTCGGCCATCCATTCCTTCACATGGACACGGACACTGATGGGAGGAAAGTTACCTTTGAGCATGGTCTTGCCAATGAAGATCACATAAGGCAGTAGTTTGGTCCTGTCTCCCATACGGGCTAGCTAGCATCACTGAAAAAATAATACAAAAATAAGTCTAAACATACAGCAGTGGGTATTGACTATCACAACATCTTACTTACCACCGTCAACACAATAAAGCAATTCTGCACGATATGTACTCGTAAATCTCATTATTTACTGGTACTATTATAGATGCAGATTTCTAGAGTCATGGGAAGCTCATCAGAGCTTTTAATATTCTTTTCTTTTACTAATAATAATTACTTGTAAACCAGTTCTTTTCGTTGCCAGTGGTTTAAATTAAACCACTCTCCAAGTTATGGAGGTGTTGTAGGGGAGGTAAAATGTAAGTGGAGTCTGATCTGTGTTGCCAATTCTGGAGCGGTCAATGTTTTGTTTTTTTCGTAGTTTGATGATGAAGATCTGGAACTTGAGTTTATCTTCAAAATCGTCTGGCTGTCGCTGGGCGATGGTGGTCCATTGTCTAATACTGAGTTGATGACATTTCATGAACAGATACACCAGTGCAATGATGCCTTGAATGGATGGGTATTTTGTTTGTAGCAGGTTAGAAGCTCAGAGTCTAATTTCTGTGCTTTTCACACAATGTCTCTCGTTTCTACGGTCGCAAATCCACTGGTATAAGTCGTGCTCCATGTCAGTTTGTGCTGCCTGGCTCCCTCTGTTGGCGATCTTCTTAGCTGGCATGGATACTAGTGGGTTTGTCTGTTTTTGCCGATATTGAATATTAGATTCGCCGATATTAAACTGACGTCCTGCAGCTCTGTTACCAAATCTGTCTCCATATTCCATAACTTCCATCTTCTCTTGTGATGTCAGGAAGCTGTTTTTCTTTCCCATCTAGTAGACTGGTAGTGGAGTTCAGGTACATAGTAGTTGGTAGTGGAGTTCAGGTACATAATAGTTGGTAGTGGAGGTCAGGTACATAGTAGTTGGTAGTGGAGTTCAGGTACATAGTAGTTGGTAGTGGAGTTCAGGTACATAGTAGTTGGCAGTGGAGGTCAGGTACATAGTAATTGGTAGTGGAGTTCAGGTACATAGTAGATTGGTAGTGGAGGTCAGGTACATTGTAGATTGGTAGTGGAGCTCAGGTACATAGTAGTTGGTAGTGGAGGTCAGGTACACAGAAGTTGGTAGTGGAGGTCAGGTACATAGTAGTTGGCAGTGGAGGTCAGGTACATAGTAATTGGTAGTGGAGTTCAGGTACATAGTAGATTGGTAGTGGAGTTCAGGTACATAGTAGTTGGTAGTGGCCAACGTAAACCCCATATACAAAAAATGAGGTCAGGTACAAAGTAGTTGGTAGTGGATTTCAGGTACATAGTAGTTGGTAGTGGAGTTCAGGTACATCGTAGTTGGTATTGGAGTTCAGGTACATAGTAATTGGCAGTGGAGGTCAGGTACATAGTAGTTGGTAGTGGAGTTCAGGTACATAGTAGATTGGTAGTGGAGTTCAGGTACATAGTAGTTGGTAGTGGAGGTCAGGTACATAGTAGTTGGTAGTGGAGTTCAGGTACATAGTAGTTGGTAGTGGAGTTCAGGTACATAGTAGTTGGTAGTGGAGTTCAGGTACATAGTAGTTGGTAGTGGAGTTCAGGTACATAGTAGTTGGTAGTGGAGTTCAGGTACATAGTAGTTGGTAGTGGAGTTCAGGTACATAGTAGTTGGTAGTGGAGTTCAGGTACATAGTAGTTGGTAGTGGAGTTCAGGTACATAGTAGTTGGTAGTGGAGTTCAGGTACATAGTAGTTGGTAGTGGAGTTCAGGTACATAGTAGTTGGTAGTGGAGTTCAGGTACATAGTAGTTGGTAGTGGAGTTCAGGTACATAGTAGTTGGTAGTGGAGTTCAGGTACATAGTAGTTGGTAGTGGAGTTCAGGTACATAGTAGTTGGTAGTGGAGTTCAGGTACATAGTAGTTGGTAGTGGAGTTCAGGTACATAGTAGTTGGTAGTGGAGTTCAGGTACATAGTAGTTGGTAGTGGAGTTCAGGTACATAGTAGTTGGTAGTGGAGTTCAGGTACATAGTAGTTGGTAGTGGAGTTCAGGTACATAGTAGTTGGTAGTGGAGTTCAGGTACATAGTAGTTGGTAGTGGAGTTCAGGTACATAGTAGTTGGTAGTGGAGTTCAGGTACATAGTAGTTGGTAGTGGAGTTCAGGTACATAGTAGTTGGTAGTGGAGTTCAGGTACATAGTAGTTGGTAGTGGAGTTCAGGTACATAGTAGTTGGTAGTGGAGTTCAGGTACATAGTAGTTGGTAGTGGAGTTCAGGTACATAGTAGTTGGTAGTGGAGTTCAGGTACATAGTAGTTGGTAGTGGAGTTCAGGTACATAGTAGTTGGTAGTGGAGTTCAGGTACATAGTAGTTGGTAGTGGAGTTCAGGTACATAGTAGTTGGTAGTGGAGTTCAGGTACATAGTAGTTGGTAGTGGAGTTCAGGTACATAGTAATTGGTAGTGGAGGTCAGGTACATAGTAGATTGGTAGTGGAGGTCAGGTACATAGTAGTTGGTAGTGGAGGTCAGGTACATAGTAGTTGGTAGTGGAGGTCAGGTACATAGTAGTTGGTAGTGGAGGTCAGGTACATAGTAGTTGGTAGTGGAGGTCAGGTACATAGTAGTTGGTAGTGGAGGTCAGGTACATAGTAGTTGGTAGTGGAGGTCAGGTACATAGTAGTTGGTAGTGGAGGTCAGGTACATAGTAGTTGGTAGTGGAGGTCAGGTACATAGTAGTTGGTAGTGGAGGTCAGGTACATAGTAGTTGGTAGTGGAGGTCAGGTACATAGTAGTTGGTAGTGGAGGTCAGGTACATAGTGGTTGGTAGTGGAGGTCAGGTACATAGTAGTTGGTAGTGGAGGTCAGGTACATAGTAGATTGGTAGTGGAGTTCAGGTACATAGTAGATTGGTAGTGGAGTTCAGGTACATAGTAGATTGGTAGTGGAGGTCAGGTACATAGTAGTTGGTAGTGGAGGTCAGGTACATAGTAGTTGGTAGTGGGTTTCAGGAAGTTGTTGGTAGTGGAGTTCAGGTACATAGTAGTTGGTAGTGGGTTTCAGGAAGTAGTAGTAGTAGTAGTAGTAGTAGTAGTAGTGGAGGCATGTAGCATATGTCTCAACCTCACAAACACACGTATTTTATGCAAGTTGGTAATGATACTTTCCACACATAGATTTGTCAAACAACACCAGGCAAAACAGGCATATCCCTACATCAAGGCCTACTAGGCATCATTGACGACAACTCCCTCACCCAAACCATAGACAAACCCACAAGAGGAGAACACATCCTTGACATAACACTCACAAATCGAACATCTATCATCAACAAACAAGAAATAATCCCACCCATAGGCAATGCAGATCATATTATGTACAGAAGCAGACATTAGACTACACAAAGCTCGCAAACCACCTAGGAACATTAACTTATATAACAAAGCAAACTGGGACAACATCAGAAAAGACCTCACTGATCTATTAAATTACAACTTTCCGGAACTCGAACATCAAACGCAGAAGACATCTAGGAAGCTTCAAAACAACACTTCATACATCTACAGAAAAAAACATACCAATAAAATCACTAACATTCAAACAGACTACCCTGGATGAACAACTCACTTTGTTGCCTCTCAAACAAGTCTTATTGCCTCCATGCCATCATAAATTAAGAACAAACAACAAACTAATCCACATATACAAAACAATTAAAAGCTGGAGTGCAAATACACTGAGAAGATGATTACAGACTTACCAATAGGTGAACTTGACGACCCCCGCACAAGGAACAAATATACAACCCTAAAAAAACTCTTTTCGTTCCTGAAAATCACAAAAAAAGATAATCCAGATATCACAGCACTACGTAAAATTGAGCACCAAACAACAGTGCCAGAAACAAAGGCAAACATACTTAATGAACAGTTCCAAGAAGCCTTCAAAACAGAACAAAACACAACAATACCTGACAAAGGAATATCGCCCCACCCACCAATGCCAGATAAACACATAACAAGCCAACTCAAGGAGTCAACAAACTACTCAATAACATCAACCCACACAAAGAAACAGGCCCAGACCATAGACACGGCAGCTTGAATACTGAAAGAACTTCAGGACATTACAGCATCAATACTATCAAACATCACTCAATACAGGAACATTACCCAGTGACTGGAAACACGCCAACGTAAACCCCATATACAAAAAAAGGAGACAAATACAACCCAACAAACTACAGACCAATGTCACTCCCAGGCACCGATGCAAACCTCTAGAACATGTCTTCCCAAGTGCAGCCATGAAACACTTAGAAGACAACAAAATACTGCATGACCTACAACATGGCTTCCACACATCAAGATCTTGCGAAACACAACTTAACAACAACAAACAAACATACATTATCATTATGGACTTTGTCAAAGTCCCAATCAAACACTTACAGTACAAACTACATTATTACGGCATCAACGGGACCACGCTAACATGGATCACAGATTTTCTATCACAACGCATCCAAACAGTATTACTTGAGGGTAAACACTATGACATCCCAGTAATATCTGGAGTGCCTCGAGGAACCTGTTTGGGACCAGTCCTCTTCCTCATATACACTGACAACTTCCCCTAATACATATCACACAGTACACTAAGACTTTTCGCAGATGACAGTATACTCTGCAAAACCATCAATAACAAAAACGATACAATAAAACTACAAACAGATTTAGACGCAGCTAGCAAATGGGACAAGGACACACTCCCCGACCACACACTAGAATCTGTAACATCAAACAAATATCTAGGTCTCGCACTAAAATAAACACTAAAACGGAACAAACACATCCAACTACATCACATTCAATGCAAATAAATCAGTAGCCTTTTTGAAACGCAACCTGAAAGTACATATAAGGCCATCGTAAGACCTAAACTTGAATACTGTTCTTCAGTTTGGGACACTCATTACACAAATAATATCAGATCAATTGGAAAAAGTACAACAAAGAGCAGTACGCTACGTCCTAAACAAATACCATAACACAAGCTCAGTCACAGATATGATGCACAACTTGTAATGGCCAACACTACACACACGCAGAACAAGAGCACGCATTATTCTTTTCTACAAAATAATACACCAATAAGTAGCAATACACTTGCACCACATATAACATAATCCAACACATACAAAATCAACAACACAAACAACACACTGTTTTTAACCAGAATTTGATCCTATTCCGTCTTTGCGTATTGCAGAGTTATCTTCTCTTGTGACCAGGTATTGATTGTTACGTCATTGGTTTGTGTGAGAAAATTAAGTCGTTTTCTCAAAAATTTACGACGTTACTAGTACTCTCACAAACAAATGACGTAACAATCAATACCTGCTCACAAGAGCAGATAACTCTGCAATACGAAAAGACGGAATAGCAAATACTTCAAAATAATTCAAATCACTACATAACAACGCACTACTGCACAAGACCCTAACAATCCGTAATCGTCAATATTGAAGGAAGAGGTTATACAGATGAAGATGTGTAAATAAACGAAGCACAAGCGCAGTGACCTCAATATTTGACTGGCAAATGAGAATGCACAAGGTGATATTTAATTGGTTGGTTACTTTACACATCAAATTTCTTTGATGATATGTTTTCGTAAGTAAGTAAATGTTTTATGTAAAATATATAGCTAAAATGAATTAATGTGTGCAGATTTGCACACACGTGTGTGTGTTATGTGCGATCAGATTCAAAGGAAACAAACAACAAAATACACATTTTACGTAGTTTCATCTTGGTTTTATAATATTATTGTACATGTAAACAAGAAATATGAGCTCACTGATAATAAACAAATCAATTAAGTCCTACGAAATATATTATAAAAATGAGTATCAAGCTGTTTGTCTTCCATTTTCAGAGATCGATTTTCCGAGGAATTACTGGACATCGGGGGGTTTTCAGATATTTTTTGCTGGACAAAATATACGAGTAGAAGTTTTATTCGACATGTTCAGCCTTGTAAAGACTTGTGCAAATTACATAGGTGTGCAAATTACACGGGTTTTATGGTAATGTATGTAAATTGGAGTTACATCCCCTGTTTATGGAGTTATCCCTCTGATGCTGATAATTTTTTGTGATCAATCTTAATATTAAAGAAAGCTGTTTTTACATTTCAGTCACATTCTTTTCACAAGGCTCACTGGGATGGTAAGTGCTTACTTCCCTTGGAGGCCCAGAATGCATGCAGGAAACAAAATTCTACCCCCAAATCACTGACGGAAGGTATGCAGGACTTGTCGACAAGATAGCACAGTGGCGCCCTCTGCAGGAGTTAATCAGAGGATTTACATGTTTGGAGATTAAAATTTCATGATAAACAACCCCTTGACCTCTGCAGCTCATCACGAGGGAAAATCGCATGCCCCTGAATAGTGTAAATGTATCTTTATTGATATCCTAGCATCCAGCAGGTGTTGCAGGGGAAAGTGGCATTCTACCTAACAAAATTGTCACAGTAATCTAACAGTCCAGCCAAATGAATTAGACTATAAAGTATCCACTGTATATATAATAACTGATAGTGCTGTACTTAAAAAATTCAATTGCACTTCAAAAGTGAAATTGAATAAGATTACCAAATAATCAAATATGTTTACACTTAGTGATGATACTGTAAATGTCTCGCATGTGGAAAAACAAATGGTTGCATGGCCTAACACAAGTAAAATGGTTGTCAGCATTACATAGTAATACGATTGTCTGTTGCTTTACTGTGCACTGATGGTTGTATCATAGATTAAATTCAATTTTGAAATTCAGATACATATTCATTAAAAAAAATCAATCATTCTGCTGCTCAATTCTATATTTTAATTATTATTCACCTGGAGCAGGCTTTGGAATTGTTCTACCATGTTTACAATTAGTAAAACTGTTAGAATTGAAGGGTTTTGGTTGTGATGGCAGTTTTTTTCTCTGCTTGAGTATAGAGAAGTGTGAATCAGTATTGAGAAATATTGCCACTGTGAAGCTATATCAATCATCATCATCATCACATAATATAATATCATTACGGGAAGATGTAGGTCAACTAGTAAAGGGATGTAATTCATTAACACTATGACCAACTTGTAGAATTAGAAACAGGACATTTTAGTCCATCCTCTACCTTTAAATACTGATATGTATATAATGACCAATAGACTCAAATGTTGACATAAAAATATTGATATATTGACTTTAGACTCATTTGATCGTGTTGTAGACCATTTTTATATCAATTTGGTATAGAGTACCATATATCATATGACATGTAAAAAACTTAGCTGGTATAATGGGGATACTTTTCTTATAATTTAGCTCTGTTCAATCACAGGTAAGAATCTCAAAATGTTTCTAATATTGTAAGACATAAAAGGCCCTGTTGTTCAAAACTGACTTTCACTTTACATGTATTTGAATTGGTTTAGAAATTATCGGTTTTCTTGATTGATGGGCTTCTAGCTCACCTGACCTGAAGTGTCATATGAGCTTATGTCGTGGTGAGGTGTCCGTCCGTCGGTCTGACACAACTTTATATTTGATCATATTTGGCCAGTAGCATGCTGAGATGGGCTATTTTGCATGAAGCCTAATTTTGTCCATTAAATCAATATATTTGATCTTGGTCACCTTTTAGGGTAACAACACTGAGAGAAGTACCAGATGAGCAATGCAGGCCCATTTTTCCTCTATATTGTAACAGAGGATCAATTTTAAAAACATAATCCTGAACATGTCATATTGTCCATAAGATAACTAAGGTCTTATGTTTGAATCATTGAAGTGTTTTTTCCGCTCATGTTGAAGATTTGTTTTTAATATGGCCTAATCTTTAACAAAAATGTAAAGTCATGGCAATGCTGTTTAGCTCATATTTATACAGAAGAAAATAAGCATCCTACTAGATACTGCTGAAAGAATCATGGTAAATATCATGTATAATGCTACTCTCTTTTTACATGTATCATATACTGAATCGAAATGCATAATATATATATATATTGCAGACAGCGTAGACTCATTGTACCTCAGAGCTTCTATAGCAAGATAAGTAGTCATTGTTGTATATACATGACATGATATTGTTGTAATGTTTTTCAATCGATATATATAAGTTAACTCTTTATTTGTTCATGTACTTGATGTCTTTTGCTTGTCCTGTCTTCGCGGAATACCTAGTTATGTATGAGTAACATTCCTTCCTGACAGATATCTTGTATCTTCTTCTCAGCTATCAAGAATGGCCTTAACAGTATTTTCTTCAATATACCATAATGACTAAATTAATGTCAAAATTATCTTTACCGTGTAAAATTCTCAAAGACATTCAAATTAGTCAAAACGTGATACAAACTATAACCTGTTCTTCCCTGAAAAGGAACACCTGTACAAAAGGAAAGAACATAGTAATGTTGGAAGAGTTATCTCCCCTCGAAATATGGAAAATGTCAAGAGGTGCACCAATTTTTTTTTTTCATTGGCTTGTAGATTTGGGTCTTTGATTTTTGTCCTTTAACATGCTTAATACATTTTTTTCACATTTAATTCTTATTATTTTATTGTCATTACAACAAGATTATACAAAATACCTTTTAGGAAGGGAGATTACTCATTGAATTAGAAAATCACTTCCACGAAAATTACTGTTTATAAATGATCAGATAATATTGTAAGTACTTTTGTAAGTGACAATGCAGATATAATTCAATTTGAGAAGTTTTGTAGCCACTAAATTAAAGACGTTTCTTGGTGTTTGAATACATTTATTATAATTTAGTATTAGCTATGAGTAACATTGTCCTGTTCCTCCGTTATGTAGATGAGAAATGTCCTTAAACTTTACCTTACCATGGTCAGTATTCACCGTTTGTTTGGATCCATGCTGACAAGGTGTCTGTACAAGTGGTGTGGTACTCTTATCGTACCCAAAGTAGAAAGCTGTTCCTTTGTGGATACTACGAAGCAATGTTTTTGACACAGCATATTTATGATCCTGAACTCTGGTTATCTGGAATTTATTTTTAACCCATTATTACACCATTGCTTTTCCATTCCACCCCTGAATATACTTAAATAAACAAAATAATTGCAATTTATATATAAAAAAAAGTCCAGAGAAATGTTTACCTGTACTTTGGTGATGGGACCAATTTCATTGGCAAATTAAAAGCATGTTCCAATATTGTATCAGTCGGCTGAGAATGCTGCTTGCGCATTGAATTTCAGCAAAGTGAATTATGGCTTTTCCGATTTCATGGTTGGTCAGACAGTAGCAGTGAACAAATGCATGTCGCAGAGAGATTTTGAAGATGTTGGAATGCTGTACACATTAGCAGATTTAAGTGTAATATATTAGTGTTGAAGGAGACAATCTGCCAAAGAAATTAAGCTTAATAAATTAATGTCAACTAAATGTGTGTGTTCTTTCCTCTTGCCTCTGATGACAATTGACGAAGTGGTATCAACTGTTGTCATTACGATAAAGTCAACTCTCTTGATGCCCATGTGGTCAACATCATTCTCCTCTATTCCTTAGATGACTAATAACGACGGTATTCCTCTCTGTTTGCTAGATGACTAATAACGATGGTATTCCTCTATTCGCTAGATGACTAATAACGACGGTATTCCTCTCTATTCGCTAGATGACTAATAACAACGGTATTCCTCTCTATTCGCTAGATGACTAATAACGTCGGTATTCCTCTCTATTCGCTAGATGATGAATTATTCACAGCATTCCTCTCTATTCACTAGATGATGAATATTCACGGCATTCCTTTCTATTCACTAGATGGTGAATATTCACGGCATTCCTCTCTATTCACTAAACGATGAATATTCACGGCATTCCTCTATTCACTAGATCATGAATATTCACGGCATTCCTATCTATTCTCTAAATGGCCAATATCTATGACATTCATCTCTTTTCTCTATATGAAAAATATCTACGACATTTCTCTATTCTCTATATGACAAATCTCTACGACATTCCTCTATTTTCTATATGACAAATATCCACGACATTCCTCTCTATTCACTAATTGATGAATATTCACGGCTTTCCTCTCTATTCGCTAGATGGCTAATAACGTCGGTATTCCTCGCTATTCGCTAGATGACCAATAACGTCGGTATTCCTCTCTATTCACTAAATGGTGAATATTCACGGCATTCCTTTCTATTCACTAGATGATGAATATTCACAGCATTCCTCTCTATTCCCGGCTTTCCTCTCTATTCACTAAATGGTGAATATTCACGGCATTACTCTCTATTCACTAGATCATGAATATTCACGGCATTCCTCTATTCACTAGATCATGAATATTCACGGCATTACTCTCTATTCACTAGATCATGAATATTCACGGCTTTCCTCTCTATTCTCGATATGACAAATATCTCCGGCATTCCTCTCTATATTCACGGCTTTCCTCTCTATTCCCTAAATGATGAATATTCACAGCATTCCTTTCTATTCACTAGATGTTGAATATTCACGGCATTCCTCTATTCACTAGATGGTGAATATTCACGGCATTCCTATCTATTCTCTAAATGGCCATTATCTATGACATTCTTCTCTTGGGGGGATATGACAAATATCTCCGGCATTCCTCTCTATATTCACGGCTTTCCTCTCTATTCCCTAAATGATGAATATTCACGGCTTTCCTCTCTATTCACTAGATGGTGAATATTCACGGCATTACTCTCTCTTCACTAGATGATGAATATTGACGGCATTCCTCTATTCACTAGATGGTGAATATTCACGGCATTACTCTCTCTTCACTAGATGATGAATATTCACGGTATTCCTCTCTTTTCGCTAGATGACTAATAACAACGGTATTCCTCTCTTTTCGCTAGATGACTAATAACTTCGGTATTCCTCTCTATTCCCGGCTTTCCTCTCTATTCACGGCTTTCCTCTCTATTCACGGTTTTCCTCTCTATTCACTAATTGATGAATATTCACGGCTTTCCTCTCTATTCGCTTGATGATGAATTATTCACAGCATTCCTCTCTATTCTCTAAATGATGTATATCTACGGCTTTCCTCTCTATTCTCTAAATGGCCAATATCTATGACATTCTTCTCTTTTCTCTAGTTGATTAATACTTTTTACTCTAAGCTGTAATAGACAAGGATATTATTGTCCGAGCTCTCACAAACGAGGAAATAGTTCTTATTGGTCTAGTGGACGGACATGCACATTTCTCTCCGTGACCTAATAATGGATGGACAAGGATATCCCTCTGAATGATCTTCTAGACGAACTACAAGCTGCTTCTTACGGACTCGTCTTGGGAGAATTTCTCTCAGCTCGTTTGGCAAAACATCGGACTTGTTAAACCACATGTCACGGCTTTGTTTCCTAAGAGACGCTTTAGAAAGTATGACTCCTTGCACCACTTTAGTCCCTAAAAATAATGATCAACAAGGCAAAGAACATGTTTGTATATATATATTTTATTTTTTCTGTAACTACAAATGTACTATTGGACATCAAAATCAGAAACACATTCTTGTATTCACAGAATCGACACTCACATTATTCAAAATGAAAATATTTGCCATAATTAACAATAATATTACAAGATGATTAGATACAGGATGAAGAAAACCATGAAAGGACAACAGCTATCAAATGCTGATAGTAGGTCAAGCACAATGACAGACATTCAATATCATAGGAGAGCAAAGAAATTTGGAAGGAAAAAATATGTATATAAAAATGACACTACACCATTGGGTACAGCAGCTTGCTAGAACTAGAGAGATTTGCCAAGTTTCAGATAACAATGACCCTTGTTTGTAGCGGTAGGATACTTTACAAAGAGAACTTTGGTCTAACTTGGGCTTTACACAGAGAGCTTTGGTCTAACTTGGACCACAAAGACCTATCAACATAACAACATAAGCCAGGTGCGCATATGTATGGCCCCACCAGTTGCTCTTTCGCAAAGCATTTTAACCAAGTCTGTCTTGCCTTAAGTAACCTTTTCCCGACAGGGATAGCATGGCATATATTCAGAAAATATCTAAACTTAAGCTTACTGATAAAAATGAGTGAAACAAATCACAAATTATAGAACTTCCCCCTTCCTTCTAGTTTTTGTTTCATAAACTTATTCCCTAGCATCAGTTAGTGAACTATTAGTGACGTATTAAACCACACACAAGGGTCATTGCCATCAGCATTAGGCACCTGAGCTAACACATCCAATAAGGAGTTGCATGCTTAAGTCATCTATTGATCTATAAATTGGCTAAAATTGTCTTGGACGGTTTTGGACAAAAAGCTAATTTTAAACGAGAGAAAAGGGAACTTTTTTTTCAAATCGGAAATTCAGAAACATGTTATGGCAAGAAGGATTGGAGAACATTAACTTAAAGTTCATATCGTTTTCAAATGATTTATCCAAGATTTCGAATAATTTAATTCAGTTTCGTTAAAATCTACCAGAATAAGAAACATTTTACATGAAACCTGTCCAGTCCAGGCTACCCAAGGCACTGGCCTGAAGGATTACACTCACTAATATTGAGCCTGGTCTTGCACAGTAATATAGCAAGTCCACATCTTGGATAATAATAGATCCTGTACATGTATCATCATCTTGAAAAGTAGCACATAATAACGTCAAGAAACTGATTACTTAAAACACTGTTCTACTTCCTGCTTGGCTTCATCTCCACATCTGTCGGATCGGAATTCGTGTGACCGCAGCACCTTTCGTTAATTGCTTTTGACTGGTTAAACCAAAGGCATTTATCTTCAGAAAACGATGAACCTGCTTGTTTTGTGTTGTTTTAAGGAGACTTGATAAAGGCCTATATTAACAGTATTGGAGGTACACCAGGCGTTGCCCCTTATAGCCACTGAGGCCATGTTTAAAGGAGTATCAATACTAAAGACTGACAGGGGAATTTCCATTGCAAAATCCATAAAACCCTAACTGAATGTTAGAAAATAGATTTTAATAAATGTTCATAGAAAACATTTCGTATGTTCACTGTAAAATTATATTATATATATGTATGTATCCAAGTTCTTTGCACCAAAAATTGTCTAGCCAACCCCCAACCCCCCTCTACACCCGAGCAGCTTCTGAACATCTTCAATTAAGGTTATTCATTGTATATATAGTTGTAATATTGTAGGATTCAATCATACTATTTTTTTCTTTTTTTTTCTTAAAATCGATAAAAATTTGAAAGAGGTCTACATACTTGAAATTGTAAAAATTTCTAATGCTTTAGGAAGGCAATGTCTTAAAAGGTTTGTTTATCATTGTCACCCGTTCAACCACTGAGCTAGCAAGTTGCCGATCAATCAGACAACCTGAAAGAGATTGAAAGGGTGATAATGGCTAATGTACAAGACACGAGGAAAAAACCAATGGTAGACAAGACAACACATAATGTTAATAAATAGACAATTATAGGAAGACCTTGTCTACCCTTATCTGTCTCAATAGCACGTCTCTGTAAAAGATTAGGATGCCCTATTGGGATATATAAGGGTTGACTATGAATAGAAATGTTTAAAACTTTTCTTCCAATAACTGCAAATGTACTGGCACGATTTTAAAGGATTAAAATTTATCCAACGAGAGACAATGAATTAGTAAAAGATCTGGTACAACTGAACCAATATCCTGCATCATCTTCTCCATATTTCATTCTTACAGAGACCCAAAATCAAAATCAGTCAAGTTTCCAGTTAACATTGTTATTTCGGATTTTATCAAAGGATGTGGAATGATAACTTCAATGTCATTTAATTGATGTGTTAAATCCAATTAAGATTGACAACTTTATTTAGATAGTTCAGCGTAAATGTTGAATTACTGGGGTTTGGCATACTGACAGTATCTCGCTCTGTGATCGAGCAGACGTCCACAAGTCCAGATTTATCACAAACATCAAATGTTTTACAACAAAATGAAGCAATTCACAATCTTAATAAAACAAACCACTTCTTTATTCTGCACAAAAAAAGTGCAAACTGAATTAATGATTAAAGTTCAAAATCGAAACATTTTAACTTTTGTTCCATTCTCACATTGATAAAATCTCACGTCTACTAACAACTTGGATGACGAAAAAATAATAAAACCAAAACGTATGGTATGACATGAAAATTCTGTATTGATAATTTCCCTAACAGTGGCAAAACAACATGAGAATATATATATGTGATGTTACCTTGTTCAATTTATCTAGGAGATATCCTAGTTCACTCCCTCATATAAGGCCTGGTCGTGGCACCAGAAAACGATTTAACATTCACTTTGTTATTGTATTTATGTACACTCGGTTCAAAGCTACCAGTTTAATAATAAAAAGTCATTTCAGGGTGAAATAAAAATCTGTCTTATTACTAGGAAAAATTGGCAACACAGTAGAGGAAAATGATAAATCTGGTCACTGTTACCATGGCTGGACACACAAAATGGAGCATTCTTTTAAGCTGTTTTTTTATGTACAACACTTAAAATATGGCTGGATCTTCAGCCTTTTTTGAATACAGATTTACTTCATGGCCTATTCTACCAAACAATGAGGATTCCAGGTAACATGGTCATTTAAGTACTTGACCAGTTTCCTCTAATGAAGACAGAACTTTCAGAGAATTTACAGACAAACAAGTTTTATTGATATAGTTCTAAACGTCTTAAGGATTATCGAGACCAGATTTCGGGCCAATACTATCGAGGTCAATGGAATGTTCAAAACCAAATTAAAATCTGTGTGACCGTGTGCCTTAACAGGGACATAATGTTTGATTAGTGTTATGATAAACCGTAAATTATACAACATAATTAATAATGAGGTGGCATTACATGGATGAAAAATACTATAACAAACATGTTCTACTCTCTTCTACATCATGTATAATTGTTTTCGTAATCTAATCAAGGATAAGTATTTACATTAGGTACAGTGTGTCAGATCTGCACGCAGCGTAGAAAACACACAGTCTCACATGTTGTTAAAATCGCAGATCTACAATTTTACATGGTACCGACAGAAAGCCAATAAAAAATCAAGAAAGAATCATGTGTTCTTTTACACACACAATAGCATACACTTGAATTTTTCTTTATTTAGAATTTGCAAAATATTCATCAACATATTTGAATTTTATATTCAACCTGCAGTCCATTCATCTGAATTCAAAGTTCCATTATTTTTATTTGGAACTTTATCCTTTAAAAAACACATTGAAATGTTCTTAATATGAATAAAATCTGACTGGATAAAAAATACTTGACAAATAGCCAGTTATCACCAATACAATATATCTAGGTGATAAGATTAAAAATCTGGACCAAATTACGAATAATTGTGTTGAAATAAAATTTTGGGGTTTATTATACTGGGCCAAACAAGCAGTATTAGTCTGTGTAACAGCCAAACTTGACGAACAAAATATCGGAACTTTCTAAAGTCTGACATTTCAACACTGGATCACTGTATAAAATATTTCAAATTGCATGTGATAACAACCGAACAGCTCGCCTGCAGATAAGAATACGCATTCTCAATCATCAAGTGTGTCAATATGTGTCACCACGTTGCCTCATAATACTCACGTACCGACACAATTACATACAAACAAATAATGACATATAACATTATAGATACTCACTTCTCCCTGAATCAAAAGACAAAATGACAGGACACTTTAGCAAAAGTTGTGTAGTCAAATGATTTCCAAGTATTGATGTATGTAAAATGATATTCGACCTTTTCCAGTTGAAAGTAAAAAACTAAAACACATCCAACAATTCACTAGGAAAATAGTACTGTGAACATTTGCAACCTTATCATTATATAAAAAAAATGCTCTTGATCTTCAATTTCATTTCAAATAAAAATTAAAATTGAAACATTATTAAAAACATAAATTTTCCTCCACTTCCGACTTCATTTTAAAAGTCCTAATGAGAACAAAGTGCATAACAAAATGATGCTAAAATATGCATTGATTAGCTTCAGATATATTTTTAACTTAAAAAATCGTTAATTTTTTTAAATTATATGAAAATTGTTAAATTGTTAAATTATACGAAAATTGTTCAATCATATGAATATCAAAATAATCAAATAATGTTACATGATTACATTAAAATAACTCCTATCTATAGTGGATTGTACTAAATGACCTTTCGGCATGGATGTACACTTAGGATCCTATTTGTGTGTGCAGTTAGTGAAATATACTTTCACACGAAAAAAATACCTGTTAACGGAAGTCTGATAAAGTGTTGTATGTACATAGTTACAGCAGGGTCAACATCACAGTCTCGCTGCTTCGTAACAATTAACCATGTCACCCCTATGTGACTTTAGTAGACTCTACCATGCATTGATATGGATGGGTCCATTATGGTCTACAGTGGTGAAAGGGTTAAAGTCATCGTCCAGGTGATATTGACATTTCCTTCTTGTTCTTTCCGGTGGATGTGAACAAATTAATCTTAAGATGATGAAAGAACAACATCAGCTGTCAAATTCATAACTGTATGAAACTCTAGCTGGCTTTCCATGATTCGAATATCATACTAATAATAAATATACAAATAAAAAGGTGTCAAAAATTGATTATAGTATAAAAAATAAAATCTTGTATGAACAAGTTGCCCACCCTTCCCACCCTTCGACTGTTCCCATGGACACCTTGTAACAAGGGGACAGTCACTAATTTCTCGGAGACCTTTCCTCACGGAGGTACTGTCACTGTTTCCTCAAGAGATTTTTCGGAGGCACAGCAACTTTTTCCCGTTCACAATAATACCATAACAGATATCATACACTTCAATTGATCTACATATTGCATTGAAACGCAAAATTTCGAAAAATGTTACATTTCTAAGAAAGTTTTGTTCAAGTCTACACGAAAATTGAAATGCTATGTGACAGGAGTTCGGTGGATTTTTGTCGTCTTGGTGCCCGTTTTATTTTTCTGCCAAACTAGAGATGTAAGCTAAGGCCCACTGTCTCCTTCTCGTTACCAATTAACTGTCTGCTCACGCGTAAAACTCCTTCTCTGGTGCCTTCATGTAGGAATAGTTTGTGAATTTCTGTTCCTCCAGAGCATAGCTGCCTTCGTCCTTCTTTCTCATGCGATACACAATGAACATCACCAGTAAAATGGCGCCTAGCAATCCCACCACAGCGCCAGCTATCACAGCTGTAAAGAGAACAAGTGTTCTGTGTAGTCAACAATAAGGCAACAGACATCTACATGTGAACTGGTATCGGTAGTAGGGGTGGGCGTGGGGGGTAGGGGGTAAGGGGGAAGCAACAGACTCTGACATCTACATGTGAACTGGTATTGGTGTTGGGGGTGGGCGTTATCATCAACAAGGCGGCTACAGACATCTTGATGTGAAATGGTACTTGTCTTGGGTTAGGGTGGGGGAGTGTAGAGAACAAGGGTGTAGCAATGGTAAACAATAAGTGAACAGACATCTAGTTGTGACAGGGTACTGGTTGAGGGTTATGGTGAGGGAGTTGGACATTATCATTGTTGATGTCCTGTAATAGTTGAAGATAGATTTTTTTTCAGAAAGTGATTTTGCATAATGCAATAACATTCATTTCCATATGACATTCTTTGAAAAATGTTACGGGGCAAGAGTCAAACCAGGAGAAATTCAGGAAGGGAGGCAACTTACCTCCCATAACAAATGGTTTTGTAAGAATTTTCATTTCACTTTCGCTTTGTGCTGAAAGGTCATTGCTTGAGTGGTCATCCTCTTCTTCAGTCTCATCTGGACCGCCTATTTCCACATCTACATCACTTGGTTTCGATATAGGCTCCAGCTCTGGGCCAGGTGTGGAACCAAGTCCAACTGCAATGGTAGATTGTATGTGTCATCAAAACATGAATAGGAATTTGAGAGGCAGGAACAATTTTCATGCATCAGTTTGGCTCTTACAAATTACATAATTAATTTTCTCTATACCTTTTCTTTTAATATTTTGAGTGAATAAGTTTGAAAATACCAACAGGCAAATATATATATATTGATAGATTATATAGATAATATATCGGGAATATGTATAAACACCACAACCATTGCTAAACTTCCATTACGTGATCCATTTAATCTGGCGCTAGCATATTATGATTTCTTCTATTTACCATTTAAGTACTATTTTTTCTCGTAACTTGTAGAAGATTGGTAAATTCCTTAGATTGTGGCATTGTATTGGAGAAGGTTGATGGTCAGAGTTGATTGTGAATCAGAAATGCCAGGGTATATATTAGAATATTCTTGTTCATCTTAAGCTTGAGTGGTGGGACCCTTAAGATATTGTGTTAATTTTAAGATTTTCTATTTTAATCTCTCCAAAAGAAAACAATGTTTCATTCAATCTAAACTCTACACTGAACACCATTTATAAACGAGCTATCTCCTTGACACCGATTTGGTAAATCAAGGGAGGTAACTCCCGTAGTCAGCCTGTCCCATGTAATCAAGGCAGACAACTCTGGCAGGTTAAACCTGTTCTGATGAGAGGACCAATAATGTGAGTACTGAAAAGCTCCATAGCATAACACAAAGGGATATAAAACACAGGTAGAAACAGGCCAGCTAAAATGATTCATGCAAGTGTTATGTAGAGAAAGAGAGAAGGAAAACACAACATGCCAAAAAAAAGTACAAAATGCAAGGTCAAAGAAATGATCATGTATTTGGAGACTCGAGTCACCAAGTATTAAGTGACTTAGTTCCTAGGTANTGGTGTTGGGGGTGGGCGTTATCATCAACAAGGCGGCTACAGACATCTTGATGTGAAATGGTACTTGTCTTGGGTTAGGGTGGGGGAGTGTAGAGAACAAGGGTGTAGCAATGGTCAACAATAAGTGAACAGACATCTAGTTGTGACAGGGTACTGGTTGAGGGTTATGGTGAGGGAGTTGGACATTATCATTGTTGATGTCCTGTAATAGTTGAAGATAGATTTTTTTTCAGAAAGTGATTTTGCATAATGCAATAACATTTATTTCCACATGACATTCTTTGAAAAATGTTACGGGGCAAGAGTCAAACCAGGAGAAATTCAGGAAGGGAGGCAACTTACCTCCCATAACAAATGGTTTTGTAAGAATCTTCATTTCACTTTCGCTCTGTGCTGAAAGGTCATTGCTTGAGTGGTCATCCTCTTCTTCAGTCTCATCTGGACCGCCTATTTCCACATCTACATCACTTGGTTTCGATATAGGCTCCAGCTCTGGGCCAGGTGTGGAACCAAGTCCAACTGCAATGGTAGATTGTATGTGTCATCAAAACATGAATAGGAATTTGAGAGGCAGGAACAATTTTCATGCATCAGTTTGGCTCTTACAAATTACATAATTAATTTTCTCTATACCTTTTCTTTTAATATTTTGAGTGAATAAGTTTGAAAATACCAACAGGCAAATATATATATATTGATAGATTATATAGATAATATATCGGGAATATGTATAAACACCACAACCATTGCTAAACTTCCATTACGTGATCCATTTAATCTGGCGCTAGCATATTATGATTTCTTCTATTTACCATTTAAGTACTATTTTTTCTCGTAACTTGTAGAAGATTGGTAAATTCCTTAGATTGTGGCATTGTATTGGAGAAGGTTGATGGTCAGAGTTGATTGTGAATCAGAAATGCCAGGGTATATATTAGAATATTCTTGTTCATCTTAAGCTTGAGTGGTGGGACCCTTAAGATATTGTGTTAATTTTAAGATTTTCTATTTTAATCTCTCCAAAAGAAAACAATGTTTCATTCAATCTAAACTCTACACTGAACACCATTTATAAACGAGCTATCTCCTTGACACCGATTTGGTAAATCAAGGGAGGTAACTCCCGTAGTCAGCCTGTCCCATGTAATCAAGGCAGACAACTCTGGCAGGTTAAACCTGTTCTGATGAGAGGACCAATAATGTGAGTACTGAAAAGCTCCATAGCATAACACAAAGGGATATAAAACACAGGTAGAAACAGGCCAGCTAAAATGATTCATGCAAGTGTTATGTAGAGAAAGAGAGAAGGAAAACACAACATGCCAAAAAAAAGTACAAAATGCAAGGTCAAAGAAATGATCATGTATTTGGAGACTCGAGTCACCAAGTATTAAGTGACTTAGTTCCTAGGTATAGCTGGAGTTACTGAGAATTCAGTAACCCTAGCTACCAAGTACTCTGTGACTTGAGTTATGAAGTATTTCCTGGCTCAATTTTTCAGGTATTCCCACTAAAATTTACAAGGTATTTGTCTTTTGTACTAAAATACAGAATGAAATATTATGTAGATTTTTTTTGTTCACTCTGCAGCTTTTTTAGGTGAAGCTATTACTGAATTTCCTTGACCTTCAAATTATAAATGAAGTGTCGACGTTTATTAGAACACTATATAACATAGTGTACAATGTATATCATCTACAAAAATGGCACGATTCTACGTCGTTTCCAAGGTGTTAGTTCACACAATTACCGCCTATTCCCGCCTCTTTTCGGCAATTACTCACTGACTATTCACTCAAGCCATACCTCACAAACAACTCTCAAGGAGTTATTCCAGGTAAAACCCAGAAACTACAGAACTCATCCCAATAGTCTGAGACTAGTGAAATCTCCAGCTAGACTAGAGGTTCTAAAACCGCTAGCCCAATTGACTAGCCAAAATTTGATATTGCTGAATATTTGGTTGGTGGACTTTGGAAAGAACTACCACAATTGACTAGTGGTATTAAAAATTAAAATTCTAGCCCACCACTTCTTTAGATCAAATATGAACATTTTCTCTGTTCCTCAATAAGTCCCCTTTTACGCTATGTGGACATTTTTTGCAGCCTTTTTTTTTTAGGTCAAATATTATAGAACTTCACATTTAGCTTTTATTGGGTTTATTTGTGTTTTTCATGGGATATCTGTGCAACTTTATCAAAATGAGGTATGACCTTATAAGGTATAATATTGAATATTCTTTGAGTAATTGCTAAAAATTGAAATCTATGAGACAAATGGAAAAGATACCACACAGGTCAAGTCAAGTTCAATTCTAGTACATTCTTTCATGTACAGCTGAAATCCTTGCTTTGCCTAAACTTATCTAGTCAAATTCATTGTTCATTTCTAGGCACTCATTACAACGGTGCGTTAATAACTTTTGCGGGGAAAAAAAGGTCCAATAATAATAACGCAGTGTAGAACAGTATACAACATTTCACTCAAGTAGGATCCAATATTATCCCCCCCCCCTCCCCTCCCATCACAGCAGCAACCTCCATCTTGTCAACCCCACCCTCCCTCGTCTGTCTTGCTGTACTTACATTCTGGATCAATATAGTGAACGTCAGGATCGACAACATACTGAAAGATAAAACATATACCACGATTAGTATGTTAACACATATATACAGCAGTAATAAAAAAACATACTGTTTACTGTTGTTTAATTTTGGCTCCTTCAATTTGTTTTCGTCCTTCGACAGTAATATCATAGTTAAATTCACCTTTCACATTTATTCACTTTGTGTATTGTGTTGTTTACAAATGTTAACGGAGGCCAAAATAAACCGAAGTCCTGGTACCTGTACAAAGTATACAGATCAGAACTGAACAAACATACATCAGCAATAAATATTGGTTCATATACCGTAGAAGTGGCCAATTTTCGTGGCATCAATTTTTGTTTGTTGCGTTTTATGTCCTATTTACAGCTATGGTCATTAAAGGACATGCCAGATTTGAATTCCCCAGAGAAAAACCACTGACTTTTGGCCAGTGCCTGGTAACTGCCCCATGAAGGGATTGAACCCACGACCCAGTGGTGAAGGGCTAGTGATATATCTTGTTATATTACACATTAATTTCTAGATTTAGATTTAATAAATAGAATGTGTATAGATATCTAAACCATTGCTAAATCAAACATTTCCATTCCCTGATCTGTTTAACTCATTTACCCCTGAAGACACATTTGAACTCTTCCAATTCCAAGGTTGGAATAATTCATTATGAAATTGCAGGGGTGAATGAGTTAAAAAGAGTTACTATGTGAACATTTCCACACACGAAAAATTCCCATTTTACAGTTTATATCTCCGAGCTAATTCTATACTTCCAGATGCAAAGTTTTGCTTTGAAGACATAATTACAGATTTTGAAGATTTTATTGTAATGAATGCAATATTATTCTTGACAAAGATGCTGCATAAAAATGTATATAGCCTGTCATCGGAATTATTACTGGATGTCAAAGATATAACTGCCTTATACACAACATCCATTTGGTACCGAATATATTTTATCATTACTTGAAAAAGATAAGAAGCAATTTTTCCTCTTGTACATTTTAGTGTAGAAGAATTTAAAAAGAATCTATGGTATACAAATTGAAACACAATCACTTGAACAAGCTGGAGTAGACAGGAAGTTAATTTCATGAAAAGAACCGATAAAATTTACGAAATCAATTCCTATTTCACGGAATGGAAGGGTGCTTAAGTCATTACAATCTGCTAGTGCTACCAGAGCAGACTGGTTCTCTTCTCATGGACATTTGTCATTTAATTTCATCCTCAGTCCCAATTTAATTAAAATTGAACAATAATGCACAAACTACATAACACCCCCAGATGTAGGTATTGATTCTGTTGAGTTTTATTATGTTCATATCGAACAACTTCACTTTCAAACTCATACACCCCTAAACACATTTAAACTCTTCCAATTCAAAGGTTGGAATATTTCATTATTGAATTTTTAGGGGTGAATATGTACAGGTTGTGCGAGTGCTGAAATGGGTCCTATCAATATCGATAATCATCTTAAAAGTAAACAATTCAACACATATTGGCTGTTATTGCCGTCTTTGACCTACCAAGGGCACCAGGCTCGTATATATGACAAGGGGTAATTTTGTAAGCTACCGGTAAATTCTGTATTTTTGAAACAATAAAAGATTCTGAAATATTGCATTGGCAACTGTGTCAGCAGAAAATGTTCAATGGCAATTTTGTTCTTGTTCAGTTTTCAATTGTCTAAAACTGATAAAAACTACATTTGGGTGGAGGAAGTCGTCTATGTAACAGAACCAATTGGATGTTTTAAAATTTGATATTTTCAAATCCTTAGAGGTGCCCCCATTAGAGCAGGGTCCAGTTTCAGAATCATTCCTCGACTCATCGAAAGAAATTTCAATCAAAGTTAAGGACTTTTTCTCATTTCATTAATGCTAAAGAAAATCTGATGTTAAGGAATTCCTTTAATGCATTCCTACAGAAAATCTGAAGAAATTTCCAGCAAGTTAACCTTTTCACCCCTATGCAACTTTAGTAGACTCTACCATGCTTTGATCTGGGTGAGTCCATTATGGTCTACAGTGGTGAAAGGGTTAAGGAACATTTGTAAAACTCGGGCCAGGTGCCGTCACAAGGTCGAAAATAAAAGATATAATGAATACTTACTCCTTTGTTGTTTCTATCTGTCTTGTCCTTTGGCTTGTTGGTCTTAGTATTGACAGGTTCTGGGGTCGATTTTACCATAGTTGCCGTTGTCTTTTCTGTAGTTGCTACACAGGCACAAAATATCACTGTTATTTCCCCCATTGTACAAATTTAATAAAGTGACCTTTCCTCTCGAAGCACCTGTTAAGGAATCCCTACCACATCTTGCCGAATATCGTTTCCTTCCAACTAATATAAAGTAAGTTTTAAATCACATTTTTGATTTCAAAACTGGTGCCAATGACGTGCTTTCATTATGACTTAAATTCCACCGAATCTTACTACTGTATACCAGGAAATGTTTTGCCCAGCTAAATTTTCACCCTTTCATGGTATTTGCCCTTCACATTTCATTATTATGTATATCATGATGTTTACAAATGTTGCCTCATTATGGAGGGTGAAAAAGGCAAAAAATTTAACTGCAGACAAACAAATCTTGTTATACAGTATATCAATATTCTTGATATTCAAATGGTTTTGTCACTTCTTTGAGTTTAAACAATATTTTGTTGAAATCTAAGACATGATAAAAACTCGTTTCTGAAAACCAATGCTTGTTGCTATGGTAAAATTTGTGGGAAGAATCTACCAAAAACATCTATTCTACGTTTCATCCGATTAATCGTAACATGCAGTAGATTTTTATTGACATGACATACAGCAACGAATGAAGTGGAAACATGCAACATTAATATTGAGCTGTTAACTACTACGAGAGTACGATAACAAGGTTATCCGTGTCATGATTCGCACCAAATCAACTCATAGCGCAACGAATCGTGGCAAAAAAAATCACTCGCCATGTGCTTTCAAAAATAAAAAATAAACGATGATGTCAAATGATGATTTCAGGCTACAGACAATGTTGTACAAATAACTGAGCAGTTCATGTCTGCATTCAAGGTTAGGACCATTACTACGTCTACAGCGAGCAGGAGACAGGGACTGTGGCCAAAAGACAATGTCTAGGTTAGTCCTACCTACCCAAGTTTTTAGGGCCAACTCTATTTTTATAATCCTTTTTTTTTTTTTACAACAAACACTGTTAGATTCCATGCCCTCCCCAAATTTTCAACTGCAATATTGGAAACAATTATTTTGCTATGTCTGGTGAGGTTTAATCTTTGTAGAACTCCCAGACAAACACAACTTTGAAAGTCTGAAGTGATATTGACTTTACACAAGGTACCAAGATCGTGTAACCTTGCCTAGAAATGGAATAAAGATGGAACTCGTACCTAAAAAATCCATTTCTGGTATGTGTGGGTTTATTTTCCATCAATGAGAAATTGAATTTCAGTCTGGCAAAGAAGCCAATCCCAAATGTCTATGGCATCTGTCAAATGGTAGTAAGCTTATGTAGCTTCTCTGTGGTACTACAGGTCCTCTATAACTTTAACTAGTTCACCCCTACATTTTTATACTGGACTTGTCCAGTCTTTGATATGGTAGGGTTCAAATGTGACTTTAGGGGTGAATGGGTTAAGCCCTGTAAAACTTTAAGCCCGTTTGGTAATCAGTTTATGATTGTTAACTGCTGGCAAAACCTTCATTTTACTTTGATGCCATTTCTTCCAAAATTATAAATGCATCATCTACACAGTTTCTCCTTAGTTTAGAAGACATTAACTCATTCACCCCTGACATTTCATAATGAACTATTCCAGCATTTGAATTGGAAGAGTTCAAATGTTTCTTCAGGGGTAAATGATCGAGTTAAGGTATAGTTTTACAAGAGAGCTCATCCAACTCTGAGGGCAGTTGTGAGACAGCCCAAAAATCCTGGACATCATACAGGGGTCCTAGTGCCTCTGTATGAATGTCATAACAGTATCAAAACTTGTAGAAACAGCTACCTTATTTATTACCAAACCAATATCGCCATACAAATTTCAAAATCAAAATCTGACATGAAGTGAAAATTTGATAACAAATTCAGCTACAAGTGCAATTTAGTGTTTGTGCAGTGCCAACGAGAATATAAACTGTCTAAATATAAAAGAGGTTTAGAAAACAAACCACCTACACATAGAAGAAGGTTAGAGGACAAACCACCTACAATTGGACAGGGTTAGAAAACAATCTACCTACATATTATATAAGTGATAGAAGGGAGACGGTCTCCTCTGTGGGAATGAGGAATAAAACAGCGATTACCAGGACGGGGATATTAAATGTAGAGGGCGCTACCAGACATATTAACAAAAATCGGCACTATGACTGGTAATTGATATAAACTATCACTGATTTTTCAATACTGTTATTTCCAAGCCTAAAACCTATTCCTGATATATTTACTAACTCATTGCACCCTGAAAACACATTTGAACTCTTCCAATTCAAAGGTTGGAATAGTTCATTATGAAATCAGGGGTGAATGAGTTAATGACTGGTCTGGCTTTTTGATACTACACATGAGCTCAGACTTAAACTATTATTTTTATGTTTGTACAAACTCTCTTTAGTTCTATTGATGATAATTTACTGGGTCCTAATTCAAATACAATATTTTCAGGACAATATTGGTTGGGTCCTAATTCAGATATTTACTATTTTTAGGACCAATTTGATTGGGTCCGACTCAGATTCACAATTTGTTGAGCCCTATTTCAGAATTACCACTTAACTCATTCACCCCTGAAGACACATTTGAACTCTTCCAATTCAAAGGTTGGTATAGTTTATTATGAAATATCAGGGGTGGTTGAGTCAAGGACATTATTACAGAACTCCAAGCCTTTCAATCTGGTATGTTTTGAATTTTGGCTGAAGGTAAATAATCGTATTTCAAAATTTAAAATCTGCTATTTTAGCTTTCTCTGTCAAGTTTTAGGATTATGTTAGTTTCATTTGACTATTGACAAGACAGTTTGAGGCGCAAGGGATTTTTTTTGCACTGGTAGATTTTCAAACCTGCCCTAAACCCTTAGATCTATAATTGCACAGAGAGGTGAGGGGAGATGGGTACCTTGACAGACAGGCGTGCTCGACTTGTGCACACGTGTGTAGAGGCGCTCGATGCCCATATTATCCACACACCAACAGTCGCCCTCGAAACACTGGATGTCCTCAAACTCTCCGTCTATGGTACACCGCGGTCGGTACGTCCCTAGGACACCCCAGCTGTTCTTCAGGAGTAAATATACACATTTTTTTAATGTTGATCCTGTAAAACAAAAATAAACAGTACAGTAAAACCACAACAGCTGATAGCATAATGATGATCAGGACACTACATCATCAAGTAAAGCATAAGGGTCAATACTGTCTTACAGTTGGTAACCTTGAACTACAGTCAAATTAAAAAGCAAACTGATAATTTTAGATGAAAAAGGAGATAACTACATGCGAGTAGTTATTAATAACATTATTTGTTAGGTAGCCTATCCTCGATAAACCAGGGGTTTCCCCTCGCTTTTGCTCTCTGCATACCCTTTATTATCTCAATGCAGAACCAAAGGCTCAGTGTGCGCCATCTTGTGGACGAGACAAGCAGACCAGTTTGATCCTTTGATGTACTTCTAAAGAAGCTTGCAGTCGCGTAAAATTGACAGGCTTTGAAGCGGGGTGACGCTCCTGTGTAATGTTCCAAGGACAGGTATCAGCCTAGAGATTGGTCAGACTTTTTTTTACCAGAGACCAATCAAATAGCTAGCCTCATGCTTCAACTTTGCTATGACATAAACGAGGTGTGAAGACGTCATAAACCAGGTGTGCAGACGTCATAAACGAGGTGTGCAGACAGCCAAAATGAGTAAAACCTGAGGAGTAACGAGGATGTAGGTAGCCATATCTCGTATTACTACAAGTAATTCTGGATATTGTTTTCGGCTGTTTGAGGTAGGGAAGTTAATATATGGTATGAGTGAATTTTAAAACTAAGTCAAATTCTTGAAAGGTAGAATTATTTGTGAGACGCTTTAAAATGCTCGACATTTGATCGGAATCGTTTCTAGGACTAGAATGTTGGATGAAGTAGGACTTTATTTTTGCTTATTTTGCATACTTGGTTGTTATTGGAGGAAGTGTAAGTTATAGACGGTATGAGTTTTTCTGAAACTTTGTAAAAAATTTGTAAAAGGTAGTGTTGTTTATGAGATGCTGTAAAATGCTTGACATTTGGAAGAATTTCTAGGAGTAGGATTTCGGATGTGGTGGCAGTTTCTACCTGGGCACACTTTCTGGAAGGATAGTGAACTTGTGATGCACATGCACACTCACCAAACTGACAATCGGGCGTTTTCGGTCCGTGCATGGTGGTGCCCTCTACTCGGTTACCATTGGGGAACACGCACCAACACTCGTCTATGCCAGGTTCTCCCCGACACTGCAGACGCTCAAATGCCCCATCCAATGTACATCTTGGCACAAATGATTTCATTCTTCGTGCATAATCTGGGTCTTTTATAGAATTTCTCAGTTGTTCACATTCTGAAAATGGTCTTGTTGATTGCGGCTGTGTTGTGTCGTCACCTATGAAGCCTGAAATAAAAAGTTTTTGACATGAAAAGTACTGTAATTTATGTCTACATTGGGGCCTCGACAATCTAGGTCATCACTGATCAGGTTGTCGGAATACGTACCAAGTCCCTGTATTTGGTGGCCAATTTTACTTGTAATGAGGGCCTTATGTCATTTAATTCATTCATCCCTGAAATTTCATCATAATGAACTATTCCAACCATTGAAATGGAAGGGTTCATATGTGTCTTCAGGGGTGAATGAGTTTAAGTTGTAGTTTAAGAGTCTCTGTCCCTCTGTGCTGTGACTTATCGCATATACAGTAACCACCCCTTAATTTCACTTTGGATATAACTAAACCACAGCGAGGAGACTTCCATTGACCAGATAGCTCAGTCAGTCAGAGCGATAGTAAACAAATTTAAGTGCAGCATTTATATCCCCAGTCTAGCCCAGCTGCATGTTCACATTCAGAACACTGTTGATAGGTTATATTTTGTTTATTTCACCTCATGAAGTTTTCATGAAAGTGCCACAAGATATGGCTTCCTTTTCAGAAATGATTTCTCAAAGGTCCAATGCGTAGTTAGTTTTTGGCAGTGGTATAGGAACCCTTGACACATCATTCTATGATATTGATATTTCAGGCCCAAAATAGCATTTTTGTGTTGATATTTTGAGTTTCTTTTCCAAATTTGAGGCCCATAATGACCTTCTTGTATTACAGGGCTGTTAAACCACAGGTACCAGCCTCGTCTGTCAATACACCTATAATATAATCTTGATTATATTTGTATTGACAGACATTACCATTTTGGCCCTTTCCGACACTCTAGTTTTAAAATCTTAAATTCGGTCAGAGTGAGCTTGTTTTGAGATTCACACCTTTGTCAAGGCCAGATCCCGATATTTCGATGTCATCCTCATCGTCATCATTGGCAGATCCTTCAAATAGATCTTCATCGTCTGAATCGATTACTCCGTTCCCACTTCCATTATGTTCAACCTCCGCATCATCCTACAAAACATAAATAGTCAGAATTAATGATAGAATCAACTAGCGTCTTCTTACCGACCCAAAACACACAGACTTAGTTCTAAACATGTTACAACCCTGATGTTATTACAGGACTTTGAGTCGATCGTTGACATTTAACAATAATATAGTTGTTTAAGTTTGCAGGGCTAATATTTCGCAGCTGTCCAGATCAAAACTGGTTTGGGAGGATTAAATTTCATGCAACCTGGCTAGGTGTAGATATAACTGTCGTGCTCATGAGCGCATTTATGTAGTTAGGTGATGGGATTAATTTTACAAACATTTTGTGAAAATGAAATAAAATGTGATATTGTCTTGGGGTTTTTTGAGCTTTTTTATTCGGTAGTAAACTGGTTTACAGATTCAGTGAAATTGAATCCCCCACAACTATTTCCAACTCACCAGAGTACTAGATGTTAAATAATATTTTCCTTAAAACTTTAAGGTTCAAAACCTATTTCAAATTGTCCTTTTAAAGCAATGAGTCAAAATAAAGCACATACATTGCTCTCAAGTAATTACTGGAGGCTCTGATCGTAGTGTCAGAACCCCAGTATTCACACTGATGCTATCTCCATAGAATCAAAGTAAAACATTGCTGTTGGCCTGGAATGGTTGAAAGATACCATGCATTGATATGGATGAGTCTATTATGGTCTACAGTGGTGAAAGGGTTAACTTTCAAAAAATTATTTCTCAGAAATTGGGAAGGGAATTTAACAGCCTAATTAAGGACGCCTGTTGTCACTTTTTAATTTGTAAGTCTGCAAAGTTATGTTGGGACTGACCTCCTCATATTTCTCTTAGCATACGTATAAGTTTGATGAATTCACACGCAGGGCGAGGAAGATGATTAATGCGGTTTATGAATTACATGTACAAACAAATAACTTCCGGTAATACTCAGATGACCGAAATAATTCATGACAATACGGATATCAGTGACTGGGACTGTCTATGAGCTAAGGATGTTTACGACCCCGAGGGCGCCCACGTCACCAAACTACCTAGCAGGTTAGTACAGTACTGCACCTGTATGTCTTATAAACAGGTAAAAACTGTTCTGGGTATTAGATTGTGATGTAATTATTATTTCCATGTATAAAGCCTCTTCTATGTTATCTACCTGTTGTTAAGTCAGACAAACTGCTGCATCATGGTGGCGTAACAGATCAAGGTCAGTTACACCCGACACCATCATGTACCGTGAAATTCGCCAGGTAAATATATAAATAACAAATGAACTGCATCCTCCTGATGTAAAAACAAAGTGATTCTTAGTAAAACATCCCCACCCTCTTCGTGCTGACATACTGTATAAATGAAATATCCTTTATTTTAAACTATCATTTTGAAATCATTCATTGCCGAATTTCATTAAAACTACCGACACCTTATCTGCACAGATGAATGTTAAGGATATGATGACACGTCAATTGTCTTTCTAATCAATATCCCTAGCTAGTTTTGTATCTTATTTACATACCTTTTTTTTTTGGAATTTTATGTAAACGATGTTCTGTTATCAACAGTGACAAATCTTGCTATCTGGGAACTGAACTTAGTAATTGACTATTTGCATGCTATGTGTCTATCAATTCAAAACCCAGTTCCTCCAAATAAACAGCAATATATATATATACCAGAGCTCACTTGTTAGCTCTTCACCTAAGCATATTTTTTAAACTAATATCAACTGACACTGATTATGTTTTTGGTAATGATGTATTTATAGAAGATCATCGTTTAAAAGGTTTTTCTGTTGAATCCTGTGACTCCCACACAGCCCCTATAGCTATTCAGCATCAGCTCAGTCTAAATGACAGCAAAGGTTACAACCTAGCATTTTGGCACACATCTTTGCTATCTTGTCCCTAGAGATGACATCAGAATAAAACAGCTCTACCCCGACAGGTTGGCACGCTATCTGGTTCCGCACTATGCATATGGTTAATGTAAGTAAAATATTACCAATGAAAGCAAATAAATTTGAATTCTTTACCATATTTTTCTGATGTAATAGATCTGCAACATCGTAAAATAAAATTTGGGGAGAAAAATCGTAAAATCATGCCAAACACTTTTCGATTGTCTGGTAAAATACAACCTGAAGCAATCAACCAATCATTTAAAAGATGGACAATTTATTAATGCCTCAACTCATTAAATTGATTGGTCACTTAAACCAATCATTTTTAAGAAAAGGCCATCAACCAATCAGAGTAACATTTGACAGAGGTCATTTACTTGCAAGATTTGATAATGGGACATCAACCAATCAGAATCAGCTTTCAGAGAGGTCATTAACTTGTGAGATTTGATAGAGGGACATCAACCAATCAGAATCAGCTTTCAGAGAGGTCAATAACTTGTGAGATTTGATAGAGGGACATCAACCAATCAGAATCAGCTTTGAGAGACGGCCATCAACCAATCAGATAATGGATGTAATTAATGCTACAGCCTGGAACTGCTGGGTGCAATCAAAGCTACGACATGTTGTTAGTAGATGTCATCAGCACTTTTTTAGTTCCCCAGCAGGGACATTCACAGTAACGCAACCGACCTTATGTCTTATCCTGATAAACAAGGATCAAGGCATCACTGCGATTTGTGCTGAGCAATGTTGTCACTATAGCTACCTGATAATGAACAACTCTCAGGAACAAACTCTAATAAATATCAACACACTTCAGTGCCCATCTACAAGAGTTATGGGTCTAGCACACAATAAACATGGCTAAACTAATTCAACAGCAAACATTTGTGGCAGGGGGAAAATAATCAATATACATTTACCGTAAACTACCAGCTACTACCCAGATTAACAATTAACAACAAACAAGGACCATATGGTAACTAACAATTAACATATAGCAATGGGCCTTGTTAGTCCAGAATTGTCTCAAATACCTAGCTACTTTCTCCGAAAATGAAAAAGTTTATTACAACATCTGATCCCTTGGGTACCAATTTCTATGTGTAACAGAGGTCATTATTTTTCAATGCCCATGCCAGGAGTGGAACCCGGGACCTCTCGCTTACTAGTTTTACGCTCTGCCGAATGAGCTTAAGAGAAATTCTCCCTAGCCGAGTCAGTAGTCAGCAGGTACTATTTTACCAGGGTGACATATACTAATACATATAGTTACCAGGCCAACCTGCTTATTAATGTTTGTCTGGAGAGATCCCTACGTAAACGTGTACTCAACATGGACTTGACAACTGTAAAACCTGTGTACCGTATCATTTTATACTACAATAGTGGAATTTTTTAGCGAGTGTAAATGCCCACATCAAAACCCTTTGAACCGTGACTGCGATGTGGAAATATTGTGTTTGTAATTGTTATGAAATCGATATAATTCTTAGATCATTATTTGCATGTGAATATTTTCACACTAATTTACTCAACGAACAAAATTGAGAATTTCCACCACACCGCAAAAATTTCTTCTTCTACATTTCTGTGGTTAATAAATATGGTTTCATCATACAGAAATAAAAAAGTATATAAATGAAACGTAAGCAATCTACATGATTTATTAATTAAAAGTCACGGATAAAGCCGATCTTTTCAAATTGGTTATTTAAACTCATTCACCCCTAAAAATTCATAATTAACTATTCCAACCTTTTAATTGGAAGCGTTCAAATGTGTCTTCAGGGGTGAATGAGTAAATGGAAATGTTTTATTTTTTCCAAGTCCACCTAACTCTACACAACAGCGTCGTAATGACATTAAGTTACCAAAGTTGCCAGTACTGGCAGTCGAGACAGACACTGTCTCCCACACCACACATACCGTTATTTCAGCTAGGGAATTAAAGATCTTTCTCAATACTTCTCAACATCGGAATTAAACTTCCAGCTATAGGCTGGAGCATAGCTAGTGGAACATCTGTGTCTACCAGGCCAACTAACTTTTGAATTTATTTCCTCTGAATTTATTTTCAGATCATGTAAATCTAGAATGACTTATGCTATATATAGGAATAGCTAGATTCACCACAAAACCATCTGTATATAAAGATTTAGGTCAGCTGCCTCTTTATATATATATAACCTGTATACAAAGATCACTGGTCTATGGTGGCTGACGGGGTTTGTGCCATTTCGTTGTTTTTGTCATTTCACGCCGAAAAGACGAGGATCAATAAACCTTAAATGTTATTTCTTAATACTCTTTCTTAAAATCAAAAACTTTTAAATTTCGTCTTTTCAGGCAAAAAGACGAAATAACAAATTGGCTCATACCAGCCAGTGTACCTGTTGGTATTACACACATCAACATTCACAAAATTCCATTAATAAAAGTTGTTAAACATATCTATGAAATCAAATTGTACGGAATTATTCTGAAAATGTCTTCTTATATACTAGATTACGAAAATAACATACCGGTATTTTGTTTGGTTTGGCTGGTTTATGTCAAGAGTACTCTGATCTAGATTAATAAAGGATGAGTACTCTTTAATATAACTAATCCTTAACTCATTCACCCCTACATGTTTAAACTAGACTTGGGCGTCTTTGATTTAGTAAGGTTCATATGTGACTTAAGGGGTGAATATGTTAAAATATTTTTTATTTGGTTTGTTTGTGTTGTACGTCCTATAAACAGTTATACATATGGTCATTTAAGGACGTGCCAGGTTTTGGTGGTGGAGGATAGACAGAGTTCCCAGAGAGAAACCACCGACCTAAGGCCAGTACCTGGGTTAAATAACTGGTAAATGGAGAAACATTGGCCATGGAAAGGCATTATCTAAACACCTAATAATGTATGTAAGCATCCAATCTTTGTCAATCCCCAACACATTCCAACCTTTACCAACCCAGCTACTGGCAGCCCAAAAAAACTTCCACAAACACTGGCCATGGCAGTTAAATGTTTTTCATTGACTTATTTTTTAGCCTTCTGTTTTCCAGGGCAGGTATGTTAGAATCTGGAGCCCTTTGATCCTGTACACATCAAA